CGAAAAGTGACGAAAAACCGATAGAAGAAGAAAAACCAAAAACTGAAGATAAACCAAAACCAAAGTTTAGTTTCCAAACTAAACCAAGTCAACCTTCATTAGCTGGTATGGGTTGGCGTCAAAGACTTATGGCAGCAGGCGGTTATGTAAAGTAAAGAAAAAAATATTTTTTATTTTTATAAAAATGCCCCCATATAGAATGGATAGAAAGTCTGCTAGAATAAAAGCAGAGTTACAAAGATATGGTTGGAGAGTTTCGAAGAATTTTAAATATAGGAAGGGAAGACCCATAAAAGTCTATGACAAATTGTCTGGTCTTCGCTACGAAATGGATTCGGAAACAGCACGTGCCAATTATCCAAACAGACTAGAGAGGTTAGAAGAAGAACGTCTTATGGACATGCCTTTCGATGTTAGTGAACCTCAAGTTGAAGGACACGACGGCTTTGCCAGATTCTACTGGAAACATGACGAACAATTGCATCCTTTGAGAAGGAAAAAAGGAAAAAGTGAAGACGCACATGCTCCCATGGAAAGAACAAGATATGCATATGAAAAGTATCGTGAAGTTAGAAGTCAAATTACATCTGGTCGAACCTTTACAGTAAACTTTGACGAAGGAAAGAACAAAGAAGGCTTCATGGGTGTACTTGCTGCAATTCAAGACGGAAATAAGAAAGGACACAATCTCAGATTGACCATAACAGATTTGGATGGTACATTTACTATGCACATGGCAATGAACAAACAGCCGCAAAACTTCTTGACGCTTTCAAGACTACAAAGAGAGAACAAATGGTTGACTCCGACTCAGACATTTTGAATGCAATTGAAGGAATTGCAAGTGTCAAGTTCGAATGGTACCAACCTAACCCTCAAGCAGTCAGACAACATGCTGGATACTTCCCCTTCATAAATAAGTCTGACATTGACTTGACAAGGTATGGAATTTACAATTCAATTGAAACAATTGTCAATGAACCTTGTATTCTTACATGTCTCAGGAACTCTGGTCTTGTTACAGATGAAAAGATGAAGTATCTTGAGTCATGTGTGAAGACAAGGTACATTCTCAGAGGTCAATTGGCAAAAATTGCACCGTTGGCAAATGTCAATATCCGAGTCAACATACCTACAGCTAAAGGTTCTTCACATGACGACTATGTTGTTGAGTTCAATTTACCATGGTTGAAGATTATAATTGTCCATAACCACTTCATGTTGAACGAAAGTCTTACAAACCCATTGTTCGGAAAAGGCAAGTGCAACATTGTCAGAGCTGTAAACATTCTTTTCGAGAAAGGTTTGTTGGAACCAATTCCAAATGACAAGCTTACAGAAAGTTTTGTACCAAAAGACGAAACAAACTTTTCATTGTTAGCAAGACCAAAAGTTGTTCCAGACAAAGTTCTAGTACAAAAGAAGTACACAGTTCCACAAGGGTTGGTATGTTCGGATACCAACCTGAACCAGAAGAACTTCCAATGAGGTTGCAAGAACTTCAAGATGCTAAAACAAACTTCCATTGAGACATCCAATTGACGTCAAATTGTATTGGAGAGCATCTGAGTTAGGTCAGAAGGTTTTATATGAAACAGGTTGCTTCGACGATGTTTATGAGATAACAGGAGAAGTTTCTCAGAAGATAAGAGACTCACTTGAATTTCCACAAACTGGACCAATTGGTTGCGACAAGTTCGACTCAAACGAAAAGATATACTATGTCGACCTTAACGCTGCATACATGAGGTTTGTCCAATATATTCCGACTGGAATTCCAAACGAAGATGGTGAGTTCCCGGGAAGGAACTATACAGTTGGAAAAGTCATACAACAACTGTATGATATTAGGAAAGCTTCAAACCCCAAACTTGCAATGACACTCAAATTGCTTATGAATTCGACATGGGGATATTCCATTAAGAAACCTCAAGAGATGAAGAGTAAACATTATGAGAAGGTCGACAACTTTGTTGAAAGGTTTTCTCCTTTTGTTTTGAAGTACGAATTCACTCAAGGTCAAAGTGGCTTAGTAACCACATTAAAACCTATTGTCGAACATTGGTCTTACCCTCAGTTCGCAAAGGCAGTCCTTGACAACTACAACAAATTCTTCTCCGAAGTCAAATCGAAAGTTGTGGTTTACTATGAGAACATTGACGCACTCATGACGAACGAAGAAGGGTACAACAAACTCATTGAAATGGGTTTAGTCGGTGAAAAGATGGGCTGTTTTAAGCTAGATAAGGTATTTTCCGAAGTTCATGTAATATCGAAAAGGAAATATTGGGGCATACTTGAAGACGGCACAGAAATAAAACATTGCATGAAGTAAAAAATTTTTATTTGAAATGTACGCTGAGTTTGCTTATGTAAACACTAGAGATACAGATGGAAAATACGTTCAAATACTTCTTAACAAATTCAAGAAGCTATATGGCATACCATTTTAAAACAATATATTTTTACATATATTAAATGCTTCAGGTTGAAAAACAAAGAACAAAAGTAGCAGATACAAAACCGTTAGACTATATCTTTACAAATGCTGGTAGGACTATTTCAGATGAAGAAATTTCATCCCGAGCATACAGGTTTGACTATCCAATTCGTTGGCTTCAAAGTCCTTCAGATGCAAAGGCAATAGGATTTAGAAGAGTTTTGTTTTCAAATAGAACTAACGCATTTATGTTCGCAGTATATTTTCATGGGCAGTATAAAGGTCCTGATGGTCTAATAGACAAATTTGACGAAATGAGAATCTTTACAGTTCGTTCAGACGAAAGTCTTGAGAAAACTCTAAATGACTTTCAAACTCAAATGAACAAATATTATTGGGAATTTCAAGAAAAATACGACTCTTTACTAAATGGAACATACTATCTGAAACTAGAATATGACAAGATGAACTCCACCGTTTCATTTCAAAAGATTGAAATTAACCCTCCAAGAGATACAGAGTTTTTATTTTGGAAAGTAGACAAACGTTCTTGGGCACAATTTCTTCGGTTACTAAACCAGAACGAACCATTACCACCAGATGGTCCATTTAAATTTATACTTCCACCAGCAGATTTGACAGTTTATAGAAACGTGTTTGACCCTCAAAATGTTATGTGTCATGCAAGTTTCAGTTCAAGCAACAATAGTTTTCTATGTATTGGTAAGGACCTTTATGACTTTGCTTCTAAATTCTACGAACCACCTAGTAACAGTTTCTCTGACTTTCAAGTTTGGTTCACAACAAATGGTGTGCAACATATTATTCCATTGTACTATGACTTTTATCTCGAATTGTCTTTCATATATAACTACGGAAAAGTGCTGAAAAAGTATTGAAAAATAATGTTTATGTTAGCATGTTAGATCTAACACGTTTTCTAACCACTTTTCTAACATCGTAGAAAACTCATGAAAACAATTTATTTTTGACACTTTCACAAAAAACATAAAAAAATGTTTTTACTCTAAACGTTAAGGTTTACTGAACTGGTTGGATGTCGCCTTCACAGGTTATGTAGAATGGTTGACCAGAGAAGTGGAACAGTGCTCTGAGAATTTGTATAATTCGTGGAATTGGACTCTCTCTGTTTGGAAGTTGTATCCATGGGCGCTTTGCAAAGAACTTTATAATGGCTTCCTTCTTTGCTTGCTTTATGCCATCGTAGGCTGTCCCGTCTGGTACCTCAATTGGAATTCCAGTCGAAGTCTCGAGATTCAAGGCAGCCCTTCCAGAAATAGTGGTGAACTTGACCTTGGGCTTCATGACCTTGCGCAAGTAGTCTTTTACGCAGTCGTTAATTTCAATTAGGTAAACTGCCTCGTCAAATCCTTCTGGCATTCCGAGTCCTTCCATCCGACAGGAAAATATTTTCCCGACAACTGGAAAAAATTTTCCTTCCGACAGAAAAAATTTTTCCTTCCGACAGGAAGAACTCTTCCAGTTGTCCGTCCGTAAACCATTCAAATTTTCGAAAATTGAGAACTTTTTGGTCGAACTTCAGAAAAAGTTCTTCCTTCCGACAGGAAAAGTTTTTCCTTCCAACAGAAAAAGTTCTTCTGTTGCATGCTAAGATCAGTCATAATGTAAACCTCTCAATTTTATTGTCGTGGGAAGTATCTCAATTCCTTCAAAAAAATTGAAAAACTATTTAATTTTAAAAATATAATACTTTTAATTAGTTAATTAATTGGAGATATTTTTAAAAAATCACTTTTGATAATTACTTTTGAGACTTTTAATTAAAAAAAATATATTCAAAAATATCCAGGATATCAGAGGGAATTGTTCCTTATGAGGTATATAGTTTATGATGTATACCTCATAAGGAACAATTCCCTCCTTAAAACGAGAAAACTTGTTCGAAATTGTTTATCATTTCGAACAAAGTTTTCTCGTTTTAATAAGAAACTAAGGCTATGAGGCACTGATTATATATTAGTGCCTCACAAGCCTTTAGTTTCTAATAGATAGCTGGGAAACTTTCTCCAAAATGATAAGTTATTCAGAGAAAGTGTTCCCAGCTATCAAGAGGGAATTGTTCCTTATGGTATATAGTTATGATGTATACCTCATACGGAACAATTCCCTCCTTAAAATCGTTAGACATTTTTATACTTATAATCAACCATTCAAATCATATTCCTCTGAAAAGTTATTTTATTAAAAATTTAGAAATTTTAAATAAATATAGATTGAATTTCATACAATACCTATATATTTTCAATAATGGAATTTGAAAACCATTCTCAAAAGTTCTCAGAAAACCTTTTTTTCATTAATTTTAAGAAAATCGAGATTAAATTAAGTGATAAATTCGTTTGACACTACTTTAATTTTAAATTCAAAAAATTAATGTGCTTCTTAAAATGACTCAAAAAAATTTTATTATAAAATAATATATAATATTAAAAATCCCACAACATTTTTTACTTTACCATTAATCGTACTTCCTCGACGATTAATTTCCACTCAATTTCTATCGTTGACCGAACTTAGCATGCAACACTTCCTTCCGACAGGAAAAGTTCTTCCTTCCGACAGGAAAAGTTCTTCCTTCCGACAGGACACAAACGAATGTCCGACGTCCCTCTTCCTGAACGCCTTCCAAAGCCAGAGGAACCTAAAGAACCATAACAGTCCCCTCAGTTCCAGCAAGTACCTCCGAATTACTACCAATTTCCACCTCAAGGTTACTACCCACCACAAGGCTTCCCGAACTACCCTCCTCAGCCTATGCCTTACTGCCCCAACCCTTGGTTGTTCCAGCAAGCTCCACCCCAGCAATTCCAATCTCAATCCAAATCGAAGAGAGACCAAGAGTTCGAAGAAGGTCTGAACCGCTTACGCAAAGAGTATGCTACAGCTCCAATTGAGAGAAAGTTGTTCCCGGACCAAAAAATATAATTTAGGTGAAGAGGTGAGATCTCACCCGTTTTTTCACCTGTTTTCTCACCCTCTTGAATTTTCATGAATTTCCTTAAGATAGAAAAAATAAAGTTAGTTTTATTTTATTTATTTTTTTATTTTGTATAAAAGATATGATTTCAGGGATTTTTTTGACGAAGTGTTAACCTTCACTTCGTCAAAAATAACAGTTATATAATGAAAAAGTGAAAGTTATTCTTCATTTTTTTGTATAAAAGATATGATTTCAGGGATTTTTTTGACGAAGTGCAAACCTTCACTTCGTCAAAAATAACAGTTATATAATGAAAAAGTGAAAGTTATTCTTCATTTTTTTGTATTTGACGAGAATGTCGGGTAGATGGTTAGATCTAACCTCATTTCTAACCTCTTGAATTTTCATGAATTTCCTTAAGATAGAAAAAATAAAGTTAGTTTTATTTTATTTATTTTTTTTATTTTGTATAAAAGATATGATTTCAACAATCGGCACAACAACAATTCAAACAACAGCACCAAACTCGTTAGTTATGAATCCTACGTCAATGTTAGTAGAGATGAAAAGCTTTATTCCTTCTTCATATACTTTTGAAACAGAAATCCAGAAGATAAAGCAAGAACTTTTAACAAGTAATTTAGACTGTACCGCACAGGATGAAGAAAATGAAGAATATCTTTATGAAATGCAGGACATTATTGACCATTTGCCTAAACTACCTGAAATCCAACAACAAAAACTCACTATTCCTGAATTTGACGAAATTGAAGTCAAACCAACTGACTCAGTAGAAATAAAGAAGTTCATACGAAAGGTAAATTATGAATTCCTTGGTTTTCATTGCAACCATAAGGTTATGGACAAAGATTGCGACATGGTTTATAAAAATGTTTCTGACATATATAAATCTGGGGAGTTTAAGACATACGACAACTTTGTTTCATTAGTTGCAGAATGTGTATGGCAGATAAGAGATAAAGATAGAAGAGGCAAAGTATGGAACAAACAAATAAGACCCGCTATGTTTGAGATGAAGAGAGCAATTGACGCTTTAGTTGTTTTAGCAGGTAAGGTTTCAGAATATAACGCAAAAATGAACCCGCAATGTTCTAAATGTAAAGCAGCAATTAGGAAATATAACTACTCCGTCAAAGAGATAGAAAGAATGAGAAACGACTATGCAGACTTAAAGAAAGAAGCAGAAAGCCAGCAGAAAATAAAATGGACATGTTAGCATTTCTGAACAAAAACTATCCAACTGCTGACGATTTCCTATTATCTGACGTCAAGAAGAAGTATAAAGAAACCTTCGGCATAGTTAAAACATTCGATGTACTAAAAAAGAAATAGAAGCTACAAAAACTGTTTAAAGTCATGAACCATCGCAACATATACCATGTAAAACGCTTATAAATAGTTATGTTAGAAAAGAGGTTAGAAAACGTGTTAGATCTAACATGTTAACATAAACATTATTTTTCAATACTTTTTCAGCACTTTTCCGTATTATATATGAAAGACAATCGAGATAAAAGTCATAGTACAATGGAATAATATGTTGCACACCATTTGTTGTGAACCAAACTTTGAAAGTCAGAGAAACTGTTACTAGGTGGTTCGTAGAATTTAGAAGCAAAGTCATAAAGGTCCTTACCAATAATAGAAAACTATTGTTGCTTGAACTGAAACTTGCATGACACATAACATTTTGAGGGTCAAAACACGTTTCTATAAACTGTCAAATCTGCTGGTGGAAGTATAAATTTAAATGGACCATCTGGTGGTAATGGTTCGTTCTGGTTTAGTAACCGAAGAAATTGTGCCCAAGAACGTTTGTCTACTTTCCAAAATAAAAACTCTGTATCTCTTGGAGGGTTAATTTCAATCTTTTGAAATGAAACGGTGGAGTTCATCTTGTCATATTCTAGTTTCAGATAGTATGTTCCATTTAGTAAAGAGTCGTATTTTTCTTGAAATTCCCAATAATATTTGTTCATTTGAGTTTGAAAGTCATTTAGAGTTTTCTCAAGACTTTCGTCTGAACGAACTGTAAAGATTCTCATTTCGTCAAATTTGTCTATTAGACCATCAGGACCTTTATACTGCCCATGAAAATATACTGCGAACATAAATGCGTTAGTTCTATTTGAAAACAAAACTCTTCTAAATCCTATTGCCTTTTGCATCTGAAAGGACTTTGAAGCCAACGAATTGGATAGTCAAACCTGTATGCTCGGGATGAATTTCTTCATCTGAAATAGTCCTACCAGCATTTGTAAAGATATAGTCTAACGTTTTGTATCTGCTACTTTTGTTCTTTGTTTTTCAACCTGAAGCATTTAATATATGTAAAAATATATTGTTTTAAAATGGTATGCCATATAGCTTCTTGAATTTGTTAAGAAGTATTTGAACGTATTTTCCATCTGTATCTCTAGTGTTTACATAAGCAAACTCAGCGTACATTTCAAATAAAAATTTTTTACTTCATGCAATGTTTTATTTCTGTGCCGTCTTCAAGTATGCCCCAATATTTCCTTTTCGATATTACATGAACTTCGGAAATACCTTATCTAGCTTAAAACAGCCCATCTTTTCACCGACTAAACCCATTTCAATGAGTTTGTTGTACCCTTCTTCGTTCGTCATGAGTGCGTCAATGTTCTCATAGTAAACCACAACTTTCGATTTGACTTCGGAGAAGAATTTGTTGTAGTTGTCAAGGACTGCCTTTGCGAACTAGGGTAAGACCAATGTTCGACAATAGGTTTTAATGTGGTTACTAAGCCACTTTGACCTTGAGTGAATTCGTACTTCAAAACAAAAGGAGAAAACCTTTCAACAAAGTTGTCGACCTTCTCATAATGTTTTACTCTTCATCTCTTGAGGTTTCTTAATGGAATATCCCCATGTCGAATTCATAAGCAATTTGAGTGTCATTGCAAGTTGGGGTTTGAAGCTTTCCTAATATCATACAGTTGTTGTATGACTTTTCCAACTGTATAGTTCCTTCCCGGGAACTCACCATCTTCGTTTGGAATTCCAGTCGGAATATATTGACAAACCTCATGTATGCAGCGTTAAGGTCGACATAGTATATCTTTTCGTTTGAGTCGAACTTGTCGCAACCAATTGGTCCAGTTTGTGGAAATTCAAGTGAGTCTCTTATCTTCTGAGAAACTTCTCCTGTTATCTCATAAACATCGTCGAAGCAACCTGTTTCATATAAAAACCTTCTGACCTAACTCAGATGCTCTCCAATACAATTTGACGTCAATTGGATGTCTCAATGGAAGTTTGTTTATAGCATCTTGAAGTTCTTGCAACCTCATTGGAAGTTCTTCTGGTTCAGGTTGGTATCCGAACATACCAACCCCTTGTGGAACTGTGTACTTCTTTTGTACTAGAACTTTGTCTGGAACAACTTTTGGTCTTGCTAACAATGAAAAGTTTGTTTCGTCTTTTGGTACAAAACTTTCTGTAAGCTTGTCATTTGGAATTGGTTCCAACAAACCTTTCTCGAAAAGAATGTTTACAGCTCTGACAATGTTGCACTTGCCTTTTCCGAACAATGGGTTTGTAAGACTTTCGTTCAACATGAAGTGGTTATGGACAATTATAATCTTCAACCATGGTAAATTGAACTCAACAACATAGTCGTCATGTGAAGAACCTTTAGCTGTAGGTATGTTGACTCGGATATTGACATTTGCCAACGGTGCAATTTTTGCCAATTGACCTCTGAGAATGTACCTTGTCTTCACACATGACTCAAGATACTTCATCTTTTCATCTGTAACAAGACCAGAGTTCCTGAGACATGTAAGAATACAAGGTTCATTGACAATTGTTTCAATTGAATTGTAAATTCCATACCTTGTCAAGTCAATGTCAGACTTATTTATGAAGGGGAAGTATCCAGCATGTTGTCTGACTGCTTGAGGGTTAGGTTGGTACCATTCGAACTTGACACTTGCAATTCCTTCAATTGCATTCAAAATGTCTGAGTCGGAGTCAACCATTTGTTCTCTCTTTGTAGTCTTGAAAGCGTCAAGAAGTTTTGCGGCTGTTTGTTCATTGCCATGTGCATAGTAAATGTGACCATCCAAATCTGTTATGGTCAATCTGAGATTGTGTCCTTTCTTATTTCCGTCTTGAATTGCAGCAAGTACACCCATGAAGCCTTCTTTGTTCTTTCCTTCGTCAAAGTTTACTGTAAAGGTTCGACCAGATGTAATTTGACTTCTAACTTCACGATACTTTTCATATGCAATATCTTGTTCTTTCCATGGGAGCATGTGCGTCTTCACTTTTTCCTTTTTTTCCTTCTCAAAGGATGCAATTGTTCGTCATGTTTCCAGTAGAATCTGGCAAAGCCGTCGTGTCCTTCAACTTGAGGTTCACTAACATCGAAAGGCATGTCCATAAGACGTTCTTCTTCTAACCTCTCTAGTCTGTTTGGATAATTGGCACGTGCTGTTTCCAAATCCATTTCGTAGCGAAGACCAGACAATTTGTCATAGACTTTTATGGGTCTTCCCTTCCTATATTTAAAATTCTTCGAAACTCTCCAACCATATCTTTGTAACTCTGCTTTTATTCTAGCAGACTTTCTATCCATTCTATATGGGGGCATTTTTATAAAAATAAAAAAATATTTTTTTCTTTACTTTACATAACCGCCTGCTGCCATAAGTCTTTGACGCCAACCCATACCAGCTAATGAAGGTTGACTTGGTTTAGTTTGGAAACTAAACTTTGGTTTTGGTTTATCTCAGTTTTTGGTTTTTCTTCTTCTATCGGTTTTTCGTCACTTTTCGGTTCCTCTGACTTTACTTCACTTGCAGGAACAGTTGTGTCGTCAACATCTTCATAAATATCATATGCCATTTGTTTTTGTTTTCCTTTCAACTTTTTGTGTTTGTTGTAAAGTT